ACGGACGTCAGCAGGCGCAAATAGCACTGACACTGTGAACACAAGAATAGTACAGTTGGTTGTACTTTTTTATGAAAAAGAAAAAATAGAAAAGAGCTAAAAAAGTGTTAAAGTTCTTCGCATCAGCAACAAAGCTGGTTATCCCCTGCTACTTTGCCTGGTGATCCTTTTCTGCAGACAAATGCCGCCATATTCTTTTGAGCTTTGCACTGGCAGCACTTTGCCTAGAACCCTTGCACCTAAAAAGGAAGTTAAAAATGAAAAGAGAAAAATAAAAAAGAGTTACTCAGCAGAGACTGTTACCCAAACAAATGGCCACAATGAGAGGTGTCATTGATAGGCAACAAAGTAGCCGACTACCAGCTTTTTCGATTGTTGGCTGGCGCAGTGTTCTACAACTGTTGTTGTTGCTAGAAAAGAAAAAAGGAAGAGAAAGGAAAAAAGTGAAAAATGGATACCAGCAGATTTGTAATAAATTTTAAAATTGACTCTAAAAATGCATTTGCCAATTGAATGTAATAATTTATGGAAGGCAGACCAGAGCCGAAACAGGGGCAATCAATAATGATCGGCCTTAGCAGACACGAACTTGCCTGGTTCCTTTTCGGTCAAAACTGCTGCTACTACGGCAGTTTCTTTGGCAGCCAGAATCTGTCTCCATTGTACTGCACGCTGCTTTTCTCTAATAAATCGGAAGTAATCGTTTTGCCAACTAACTGCAAATTAACTGCCTTCATCGGAGGCGCAAATTAACTCTCGCTTGATGGTTGTTGTCGAGCTTCAAAGTCAAAGTTTGGAGCCTGCAGGCATTCACTGCAGCACAGCAGCACTACCAAAATGAATGCTCTTGCAGTTGCTTTTGCACCGAAAGACCAATGTGACAACAAAAGTGCACCAAAGTTGAACACATTGGGGACATTTTGCAGAAAGAATAAAAAGAGAAAAACGACGCTCCTTTAATCAACAAAAAAATGTTGATTTTCTCAGCTTCTGGCAGTGATGTCATTGTAGCCACCCACTACTGCTGCCAAAAAGATCCCGCTTTTTTCACCGGTCGATTGTCGCCGGTGAGATAGCAGCATCAATTTACCAGAATATTCTTGCAGATTCAAAGAACTGCTGAGAATTGCTGAAATGTACCGCCGTTGATATACATCGCACTAATGATGATCGGTGCATGTAAATGAGTGCTGGGAAAAAAGGGGAAATCAATTTTCAATTACAGCTGCAATTCAATGCCACTGTTGAACAAGACGTTTAGACGCTGGAAAGCTTTGATTCAGTAAAGTTGGCCAATCTAAATGGGGCAAACTTCATTAGCGGGCAGATTCAATTAATCGATCAGACGACTAAGTGCAATCGCTGTGTGAATGATCTTTTGTACGGTGCAAATGTTCTCAAGATGGCAGAATGGGTTTGCAAACAAGCAGACAAACAAACAAAAACTGCTGAGCATTGCTTTCAAGTGCATTAGCGCCAAAACAATTGACAGTTCACAACATATTGACAGAAATTGAGCTAATATTTATAGGCTGTTTTCTTTTATTGTGCAAAAGAAGAAATGAATGCTGCTCACTTGAAAGGATTGCATTAAAACTGTCCTTTTATGACTGTTTGAGTTATGGCGACATAGCAATTCATTGCGGAATAGCATTTCCGGTCCTGCCGATAAAGCAGCTGACATATTTTTACTTCACCGTGTGTTGCAATTTTCAAAAAAGAAAAGAAACATATCGATTTGATTTGTGCAATCAATCGATCTTTATTCCCTCTTTACCTAATGAGCGTCAGTGAATGGGACTTTGATTGTGGGCCACTCTAAACTTTTGAATGTTTCCTCTTCTTTATGCACGACAAAGAAAAGTAGAAAGTGGAAATGCAACAAAATATGAACACGCTAAGGTACCCACTAATTTGGTTCAATACTTTTTCAAATGACAGGATATCGTGACCGTTTTACGATATTCTCTAGTGAGCGTATATCTTTTGTTTGGGCCAGTTTTTTTAAAGTCAACCTTTATTAATTATCCACAAANTCAATACTTTTTCAAATGACAGGATATCGTGACCGTTTTACGATATTCTCAAGTGAGCGTATATCTTTTGTTTGGGCCAGTTTTTTTAAAGTCAACCTTTATTAATTATCCACAAGCATGGTCAATAATTAGCCCACGTGGTTAGCTGACATTGGACTTCAAACATGAACCTTCATTTTGGTGGTGTCAGTCATTTTCGGTGTATTTTTTGCTATATAGTTCAGTGTTGTACAAATTGTGCGTCAGTGAATGATATAGCAAAACGGAACAAATTTCGGTCGCCAATTGACTCGCTAGCTCCATCTCGTTTCCCAGCCGCAGCAGTGCTAAAACTTGTTATCGACTACAATCTACCTGCAAACCTGCTAATCTCAACTCTGAACTGACACTTTAAAACTTGAAATTCAAGCTGAATCTGGTGTGGTGCATTTCTGTGCACTCTTCTCTCTAGTTTACCATCTTCTGAACTCTTTTTCGAATCATTCCCGCCTTCCTACGTCTTCTACGAAAGACTCTTCAGCAAAAGAACACCAGAAAAAAAGATTTGTTTTTCTGAAGGTCGTCTGCAGACGGCACAGCAGCTGCTGCCTGCTACTGTTTGCACTGTATTGCACAACAACATTCATTGCACCTAAATTGACAAAAGGTGCCACTTGTCACTTGGTTTCATCTACTTTGCCGGTGTCGAGGTGGCACAACCACCACCATCACCATCACCATCACCATTACCATTACCACCAGAATCTCATCCACCGCCATCAGCCCACCAAGGAGGGAGTAGTTGCCAAGCACTACTACCAAGATCTGTCTGCCGTCCATGACCACTATCATCATCACCATCACCACTCTCGGTAATTACCACTGACAGCTGTCAACTGCTTTTATTACCGGGCTCAGTTCAGATGAACTTGAGCTTGGCGGCAGTGAATGACATTTTGTACATTTTTCTCCTCTCCTTCACTGTTGTCATCAATACAATTGGCCATCATTGACTGATTGATGTGATTGCAATTGCGGTTATCGCCAAAAGCACACTGTGAATCCTAGTTTTTTTGTCTGCTTGCAATCCTGCTAATCATCTCCTTCGAATTATGCCGCTAGTCTAATAGCGATGCTGCTACTACTGAAAATCTGTTCTTATCTGCACTCTGGCAAACAGTGTGTACCTCAGCTATGATAACTGTTTTGGAGTAAAGTCTAAAAGTACTTTGATTTAGTGCTTTTCTATAAATACGTAGCTCTTAGCGTTTATTTGTTTTATTGAAGCTCTAAGATATCTAAAGTGTTGATGCTTTCATTCATGCTTTTTAATTGATCTTTGCGCAGTGATTAAAGTCAACTCATTCCACCGTTACAAGTAATATTTTAATCTGTGCGATTAATTTTTCTAAAAGCTCAAGTACACTTTTTTACTAACACACGAGACACTGCTTTGTTGTTTTGTTGGCCACACTACAATACAACAGTGCCTGCCGGTACAGGCAACCTTGGCGGCTGCACTTGTAGCCAAGAAGCCGACTGGAGTGTTGCGAAAGCAGTGGAGCAACTCCTTTTCTTCTGACACTGACATCTCTATTGCCACTGAGGATGATGGTGATGATGATGACCTTCCTCTCGGTCATTGACAACCCTGCCGTCGATGACTTTTCTAATCTTTGGCAGACGCACCGCACTTTTCTTCTCTTCACCTTTGGTGGCCGTCACGTCGTCCTCTTGCGCTGGTGTTGCTATCACCGTTTAGTGCTGCCACTTCTTCTTCTTCTTCTGCTTCTTCTTCTGTGCTATGAATAACCCGAATTCTCCCGTCTTTACTGCACATGACTCCGGCGGACAAGGAGAGTGTACTTTGTACATGAGAGAGAAGGAAGGCGCCAATAGAGAGAGGCTTGGCAGTAGCAGTAGCAGCAGCGGCTGCTGCGTGAGACAACATCAACACTTGGATTCGTCTCACTCGCTCCATCTCCGTTAACCTTGTCACTACTAGCATACTCTCTCTCATTCGAATAGCCTCCGTCTGTCTGTTTGTGTGTGTGTGTGTGTGTGTATGTGTGCGTGATCTTCATCTGTCTGCCCTTATCTACTGTCCAGTTTGACTAGCGCCGAATTTGAAATCGACTCGTTTCGATTACCCCCTCATCATCTCATTTGTCAGGTACTTGTTACCAGAACCAGTTCACTCTTGAACTTTGCCTGCACTCGGCTTTCTCCTGACTGCAATGTCTTGCGTCAGGTTGCAGCAGTGGTGGTAGTGATCTGCGACCCGTCCAGTGCATTGTCAGTGTGCATTCTTGCTGCCTCTCTCTCTTTACAGGGCATTCTCCATTCACCCCAACCACAGCAGCACTTGCCGACAGTACTGTTTCAAAGCCAACATTTATAATTCAAACGCTTTTTGTACTTTTTCATATCATATCACATTTTTCGCCAATCGCCTGCCCTGGTGGCTCCTTTATTTCCTAGGACGGCAGTCTGGTGAGATAAGAATGGAGAGCATATATTAATTCACTACCATGCTGCAAGATTTGTTCGGTTGCTGGCGGTTTAGAGAGAAAAATTTACATTTGCCGATTAGATATTTAATAAGAACAGGGCACTCTAAGGGATAGTGTGCTTGTGCCTCGTACACTTCTTGCACAGTGCACCAGTTTTCGCTTGCCGTCTTCTTATCACGGTGTGTGTGTGTGTGTGTGTGTGTGTGTCAACGATATATTTGGGCTACAGACGACACTGACACCGTTACTTTCACCCATAGCGGAGATATTTGCTGCTTTCGCGTTAAAAGTTTTCCCTTAGCTAAAGAAAGGTTTTTCTCACTTCAATTTGCATCTTTTTGTCATTGCTCGCACTTTATAATACTCACACTTTTATTTTTCAGAATTTTACTTTTAAGTGTTCATCAACTGTGAATCAACTGCAAAGAAGTTGTAAAGAAGAAAAAAGAAAGCCAACTAACTGTGGGCAAGCATGGCACAAGCAGCGCCCGTCAGTCCACTGGAGGGCTCCTCCTCAGCCTCCTCCGGTCCCCAGCACCTCTTTCGCCTGCGCACCCTCTCCACCATCGACGAGTCTCACATGCCGGTCTCCACCGAGGGCAACATCCCTGACGTGGTGAAGACGGGCAAGGTCATTGCCGTGTTCACCTCTGGCGGCGACTCGCAGGGCATGAACGCCGCCGTGCGTGCCGTCGTCCGCATGGGCCTCTACCTCGGCTGTCGGGTCTTCTTCATCAAGGAGGGCTACCAGGGCATGGTCGATGGCGGAGATCACATCATCGAGGCGTCATGGGTCTCCGTCTCCGGCATCATTCACAAGGTACTCGCTTTTTGGTTTGTTTAGCACATTTGCAGCAAACTCTAACTTTATTCTCTTTTTCTTCTAGGGAGGCACTGTCATTGGCAGCGCTCGATGCTCTGACTTTCGCGGGCGAGAAGGTCGACTGAAGGCTGCCTTCAACCTGATTCAGTATGAGATCACCAATCTGGTGGTCATTGGTGGCGACGGCAGTCTCACCGGTGCCAATCTTTTCCGGCAGGAGTGGTCGTCGCTGCTCGAAGAGCTGGTCTCTACAGGTATTCAGCAGTGGATATTTGGATAATTGCGATTGATTGATTCACAATGTAACCCTTTTTCGGTTTTTTTGTAGGCAAAATCACCAAGGAGAAGAGCGAGCAGTGCAGCCACCTGCACATCGTCGGCATGGTCGGCTCCATTGACAATGACTTTTGCGGCACTGACATGACCATCGGCACTGACTCTGCACTGCACCGAATTATCGAGGCCATCGACGCCATTGTCACCACCGCCTCTAGTCATCAGCGCACCTTTATCCTCGAAGTCATGGGTCGACACTGTGGCTACCTCGCCCTTGTGGCGGCTCTTGCTAGTGAGGCCGATTTTGTGTTTATTCCCGAGTGGCCGCCAGAGGCTGGCTGGGCTGAGCGAATGTGCGAGAAGATTGAACAGGTAAACAGATTTACTATGACAAAAATGTTGTTGAAATTACTAAAACCACTTATCACCTTTACAGGAANGAGGCCATCGACGCCATTGTCACCACCGCCTCTAGTCATCAGCGCACCTTCATCCTCGAAGTCATGGGTCGACACTGTGGCTACCTTGCCCTCGTGGCTGCTCTTGCTAGTGAGGCTGACTTTGTGTTTATCCCCGAGTGGCCGCCAGAGGCTGGCTGGGCTGAGCGAATGTGCGAGAAGATTGAACAGGTAAACAGATTTACTATGACAAAAATGCTGACTAAAACCACTTATCACCTTTACAGGAGCGAAGCCACGGCAAACGTCTGAACATTATTCTGGTGGCTGAGGGCGCCATCGACCGAGAGGGCAATGCCATCTCCGCCGAGCAGGTGAAGGAGGTGATTGTGAAGAAGACCGGGCAGGACACGCGAATCACCGTTCTCGGCCACGTCCAGCGAGGCGGCAGTCCCAGTGCATTTGATCGCATTTTGGGCTCTCGAATGGGCGCCGAGGCGGTGCTCGCCCTGCTGGAGGCGACGCCTGACTCTCAGGCCTGTGTCGTCTCACTGGACGGCAACCAGGCGGTGCGGGTTCCGTTGATGCAGTGCGTCGAACGAGTAAGTAGACTAGGCTTTTGTTTCAAGATACTAACAATTCTGTTTTCTTTTATTGTAGACCAAATCGGTTGCGGCAGCTATGCTGGAGAAGAAGTGGGAGGATGCGGTGAAGTTGCGAGGCATCAGTTTTAAGCGCAACCTGGAGACCTACCGAATGCTGACGCGCATTCAGCCGCCCACTGTGGAGGAGCTCACCGGCAAGACTGGCTTCCGTCTGGGCGTCATTCACTGTGGTGCCCCTTGCTGTGGTGAGTTGTTTACTGTTTTTTAATATGATCACTTAGGTAACTGTTGTCATCCCAACAGGCATGAACGCCGCCGTCCGCTCCTTTGTGCGTAACGTCATCTTCCGCGGTGACACGGTGCTGGCGATCTACGACGGCTTTGACGGTCTGGTCGCCGGTGATATCCACCCGGTGGCCTGGTCGGAGGTGAGCGGCTGGGTGGGCCAGGGCGGCGCCAACCTGGGCACCCGGCGAACGCTGCCCAGCGCCCACAACATGGAGAAGATTGTGGCCAATCTGCGGCAGTACCGCATTCAGGGGCTGCTGGTCATTGGCGGCTTTGAGGCGTACCATGCCGTGCTGAACCTGGCGGAGCACCGCGACCGCTTCCCCGAGCTGTGTATTCCCATGTGCGTCATCCCCGCCACCATCAGCAACAACGTCCCGGGCACTGACTTCTCGCTGGGCGCGGACACGGCGCTCAATGAGATCACCGAAATTTGCGACCGCATTCGCCAGTCGGCGCAGGGCACCAAGCGCCGGGTGTTCATCATCGAGACGATGGGCGGCTTCTGCGGGTACCTGGCCACGCTGGCCGGTCTGGCCGGCGGTGCCGATGCCGCCTACATCTTTGAGGAGCCCTTCAACATCAATGACCTCATTGGGGACATTCGACTGATGCACTCGAAGATGGAGGAGGGCGTCACCAGAGGCCTCATTCTCAGGTTAGTGCTGCAGCTGTGGATTGCCTTTTTGCTGGTGACATTTGTGCTAATGACATTTTCATTCCCCCACCAGAAATGAAAAAGCCAACCAGCACTACACCACCGACTTCATCTACAAGCTGTACTCGGAGGAGGGCAAAGACAAGTTCTCCACTCGGATGAACATTCTGGGGCACATGCAGCAGGGCGCCTCGCCGTCGCCCTTTGACCGCAACTTCGGCACGAAGCTGGCGGCGAAAGCGGCCGACTGGCTGATTACCCAGCTGGAGGCGCACTCGAAGCCGATTGCCGAAGAGGCCGGCGACGCGCCCATCATGACCTACAACTGCACTCTGCCCGACACGGCGGTCCTCCTTGGTCTGGTCGGCCGGCAGTACCGATTCACGCCGGTGCAGACACTCAAGGCGCAGACTGATTTCAAGTAAGTTGAAATGATGTGCTTGCACAATTTCTTTGTTTTGCTAAACGCAGTATTTGAGTTCAGATGCTAAAGTTCAGTTTTTAAAGCAACAGGCGCTTTAAACTTTTGCCCCTTTTATGACCAGGGATCAATGTGCAGAGACTGCATCGCTGTTTTTGCAGTCGTTCCCTTCTTTTTTATCTTTGCATGTTGGCCTCGTTTGAATTGGCTATTAGTAGCTACCTCGGCGAATTCCTTGTCAGCCATTAGAGCTTGTTGTTTTGTTTGGTGTGTGTGTTATCTGTCGGCTGTGCTTGTCGCCACTTTTAGCCCCTTTCTCCTTTTTCCTCTTTCTGCCGGGCTGTGCACTAAACTGAACTAACCCATTCCTCTCACCTAAAATCACGTTTTCTTCTTCTTTTTTCCTTTGCACAATGCCGTTCACCTTACTGACCTCACTGAAACTTTCACCTTACTCACNCGGGCTGTGCACTAAACTGAACTAACCCATTCCTCTCACCTAAAATCACGTTTTCTTCTTCTTTTTTCCTTTGCACAATGCCGTTCACCTTACTGACCTCACTGACACTTTCACCTTACTCACCTCTCTCTCTCTCCTTCTTTCTTTCTTTCTCTGTCTGCTCCTCTGTCTGTCTCTGCGTCTCTGCGTCTGTTGTAGAAACCGTCTGCCCAGCAAAATGTGGTGGCTCCGTCTTCGGCCACTGCTGCGCGCCCTGGCCACCATGGTCAATGAGTCGTGCGGAATTGAGCCCACTGTGCAGGGATTCGTCGAGTTGCTCGACTCCTAAAGCACTGACAACAACTGTTGATGCCGCCGATGCTGCTCCTCTTCACACAGCGCACATG